GGGTCACCTCTGGCGGTCCTCTCCACTGGCCCTATACTGCCGTAGCACAGAGAGGACCCCCCACATGTGTTGAGAGTGACTCCATGCCAATGAGCCTTGATCCAAGTGCTGAGCTACCAAAGACAGACAAGATCTTCCTCACACGCTTGCCACTGCCTTTCTTGACAACTCCAGAGATATTTCCTCTCTAAATATTCTGATCTCTTCTACCCAAGCTTCCAAAACAACTCTTGGCTGGTCCATAGATCACCTTCCTTGTTCTCTTTCATTCACAGCCTAGAGCCACCGTGGAAGAGGGCCAGCCGCCAAGCCGAACTGGACAAAGTTTTCTCCAGCAACACTCACTTCGTGGTGACTCATTTACTTGTGCCCATAGAATGCCCTAGGCGGCTGCTCCTCTCTCCTGTTTCCTCCAGTGCCTGTGAGCACTTTGAGTTTTAAATCCCTGGACCTCTGCCCCATTTCTCTGCTCACTTTCACATCACGGCTCCCGTGGTATCCGCTGGGGGGCTTTCCTGGAAGCCAGAACACTCCTCGTGTTCCCAGATCCTTACCAGCCTGCCTTTTGAACCTGCACTCCACAAGACTCATAACGAACATGGTCCCTGAGAACCTTGGGCCCACTGAACAAGAAGGCATTTCTCCACACTGTATTTGTTAGCTTGGTGCTGGTCGTGAGGCGTCTGGATTAAGAAGGTATCAACAGGCAAGAAAAAGGCAAGAAGGAGAGGCAAACAGTGATCTGTTTCTCAACCCTGCTTTCCAGGACCACCTCTTAAATTTCACCGTCCTCTTCGATCTCTTCATCAAAGGGGTCTCTCTGATTTTCTTCTTTGTCCTTCACACCTTTTCCTTCATTGTAGAGCCTGGACTGAGGCAGCCACCCATGACCAGAGATTCGTTCACCTCCATCGATCACCCACCTTCTACTCTGTAGTAGACCTACGTATTTTTCCCCTGTGGCCCTTACTTCTGCTCCGGCGTTAACATAACTGAGACACATAACCTCTTAGAAGCCTGCCTATGCCAACATTTTATTCACCCTGGAAATATCCTTTTTCCCTGAAGATGTCCACACATTCCAGGGAGCAGGAAGCAAAAACAGCATGAAAAAACTTATAGGAGGAACCGGCCAGAGATGGTATCTAATTCTTGACCAACGATCAATAGAACTGTGGTCACTGTCCAACCTTCATAATCCTATTTTGGTTTGATTATGAGTTTTGGACCTGCTAGGATGACCACAGCTAGCTCCTAGGGCAGGTTAGTTTGACTATCTTGGAAGTCACACCAAACGCTGAATGGTCAAATGGGATTACTGGTCCCCAGTGCTTAGAGAATCGTCAGTGACCCAGCACTGAAGGGATGCTCTTTGCAAATGACTGTGAAAGGACAGGGTGAACTCCCGAGAGCAAGGACCGGTTGTGCTTATCTTTGTCTTCCTAAGGATGCAGAGCCGGACACAGAGAAGGCACCCCCACTGGTAGAAACTTTTCTTCCTGGGATCAGGATTTTGCCAACAGACATAAGTGACGAGAGGGTTCTATTTGAACTAGACGAAGATGGGAAAACACCGAATTTGGATGAAGCAAAGGAGAAGCAGGCAAAGGGGGGAGAAAAGAGGAGCAATTCTGTATACTTAGTTGATTCTTACTGGCAGCTGTTACATTCTGCAAAGTCAATGTGAACGCTGGATAAACACACATTGGACCATTGCTCCTAGGGTTAGCCGGCAGCGAGCCTCTGATCACAATGTTTTCATCAATCTATCAATACCTCACCTTGTTTCATGTGTGCTTTCTATTTAAAGATACCTTACTTAGTATATATTGTTGATTCATTAACACTGAATTCGGCCAACAACACTATAGCTCATGTCTGAACGAAGCTTTTTGAACACAGATTTAGTCTCTATAAGGCACATCAAAGCTTTCTTGTGCTTAGGGACACTTAGCAGCACTTTGGCGCTATGCTAAGGGCCATCTCAAACAGTGAGATCACCACTGAAAAGCCCCCAAATGCAAAAACCCTGGCACTAGATAACCCACCAAAAGGACACTTTTTTGTAGCTGAAACAAGAACGCCTTCTTGTGGTGAATGCATCACCTTTTTCCTCCATGGCTGGGAATGTGGCCTCGGGGGATCTGACCTTTTCACCACTCAGCAAGCCCAGAAAGGACCATGAAAATTCTGGAAGTACGGATGTGGGGATCACAAGGAAATTTCAACTGGTGGGCAAGTTTGTAAATACAGAATCCACGAATAATGAAGACCAACCATCAGGGTATGCCTATGTTTATCAAACAAAATCAAGACAAACAATAAGAGATGTTGGCTTTTCGGTAGAGCATGGCCTGGCCCAGTCTTCAAGGCAGGGAAGGTAAAGATAGAAGACAGACCAGGACAGGGTAATGAGACAAAAGCAGCAAGCTGCCCATAATACCAGTACTTTCGTTCAGGGGTTGTTGGAGGGAGGGGCCAAGGGTGGGGGACAGCAGTTTAATGTGCACATGGGTGTCAGAGCCCCCTGGTGGTGACGTGGATATGCAGACACACCGTCCCTGTCCATTTGGCCATCTCCCACACCTGGCCCTGGGCATGAGGGACCTGTCCTCCCTCCACCCAGATCCTAATACAGCCCTGTCTCAAGGATTTGGAGCCTAGCTGTGTATCCGAGGGCAGGAAGCCTGGGTGCTCGGGGCTGGAGCCACTCTAGCGAGGAACTGACCTCCAGCGTGTCATAACCTCATAAGCAGCCACCTGTATAGATTCACCAAACAGCCCCAAGAACTGTGGGAGACCTTGGGTTGCAGATGGGTGACTTATGACCTTTGGTGAGAGTCTCCACATTGCCAGCTCTTAGCCCAGTGCCTTGGTCATAGATGCTCATTCAAATGTGGGCAGCAAGTGTGTGAATGAAAAAACAAAAGGAGGGTAGACGGCTGGAGAAACTTGTGTTTATTTTATTAAGACAGTGTTCCATGAAGGACGTTAAGTATTGACCTATCAGGCTCAAAAATAATATATTATACTTAACGTCTTTTTAAAACAAATTATTTATTTATTTGAGAGAGAGAGAAAGACAGAGAAGAGAAGCAGGGGGAGGAGGGAGGAAGAAACTCTTAAGCAGACTCTGTGCTGAGCGTCGAGCCTGACACGGGGCTTGATCTCATGACCCTGAGACCATGACCTAAGATCACAATCCGGAGATCAGGATCTAAGCCAAAACCAAGAGTCGCTCACCTAATTGACTGTGCCACCCAGGCACCCTTATACTTTATGTCTTTTATTTTATTTTTTTTTCAAGATTTTATATGTTTATTTGACAGAGAGAGACACAGCAAGAGAGGGAATACAAGCAGAGGCAAAGGGAAAGGGAGAAGCAGGCTCCCGGCTGAACAAGGAGCCCGAAACGGGGATGATCCCAGGACCCCGTGATCATGACCCGAGCAGAAGGCAGACGCCTAATGACTGAACCACTTTATGTCTCTTAAAGCACTTTCATACATGTCATCTCATCAACCCTCAGATTAACACTATGTATGGAACAGGTCAGATATACTCAAGCACTTAGTTGAGGTAACCGAAACAGAGAAGTCAGAAGATCGGAACCAGGACATGCAATGGCGCGGCCAGCTCCACAGCCCATGCACTTCTGCCTACTCTTCTGATAGGAAGCAGCCCCTATGCATGCCCCCACCCTCCGTCTCCACGTGCAGGAGAGGGTCCAGGTGGCATCGGAGCTCTGGAAGGCCCCCCTGCAGGAAATGCAGAGGAATCAGAGACGTGCCAACAGGACCTGGAGCCAGCGATGCTGCCCGTCTGGTTCCCCAAGCTAGGAGCAGCCTGCCAGGAAGCCAAGTGGGCAGCCCGTGCCAGGCCGAACAGTCAATTAGCACCCACAGAAACCCCGCTGCCCAGCGAATGCTCAGGGCAATGAAACTCCAGGCCTGCTGGTTCCTGGGACAGAGGGCAGGTGAGTTGGGAGCTGTGTTCCCAGACGGCCCATGGGTCCTTGAGTTGGGGGTGGGAGGTGGGGAGGTACCATACAAGTCCCAGGCTCTGATTCACTCTGCCCTCAAAGCCACTGGGTGAGCCCTTCAGTTCAGAGAAACCAGGCCAACGTCGACATCCCCATTCTGGACTTGATTCACTCTTTCCTCTCTTAATGGCCAAAGGCCCTGTTCTCTTTATCTCTTTATTCACCTTCAATTAAGATTACTCTATAGAAGCTCTTTCTTTGATGGGTTCTTCCAGGCTTTTCTCCCTCTTGTTCTCTCTCCAATATATGCCAAATGCACATTTCTCCTGGTTCACAGACCTACACTGCAATGCATCACTTTCCCATCCTGCCTTCCCGGCTTTCAATGGGAACACCCTTCGTCCAGCCTTTCCAGTACTTCCCCCATACTGTTGGCACTTGTGACACTGGGCTCGCTGGAGGAGAGAAGAGACGGTTGGTAGAGAAACTGGCCCTGACTGAGTAGGAATGCTGGCACATTGCTGACATTGCCTGAGCTTTCCAACCTGGGACAGAGAGCCATGGGTGAAGACATGGGCACAGACCGAGAATGGAGATCCAGCCCGGGTGCAGTTCCCCTCATTCTAAGGAATGGTTTGATTTGGATCAGAGGACGAGCTCTGAGGCCAACTTCTGGGGCTTCCCTGAGGACATGCCTGTGATCATTAGTCTTTTAAGAGGCTTAGTCCCAAAGGACAGACACACGGGGTAGGGTAGAGGCCATGGGTCAAGGGAGTCATGGAAAGATGGGGACCCAGATAACAACCTCAGAAAATCCATTTCTGAGAGGGGCAGAGGACAGAGCTGAAGCTGAGGGGAGGGGAGAAAGGAGATATCCTCCCCAAGACCCCGGTACTTCTAGTGGCTTTAAGAACTGGCATGTTCAATGGGCATGGGAAGGAAGGAGACGTGGAAGAGGCAGTGGTTCTCTTCATGGGAGAGAAGCTTCTCCCTCCCCTTGCCCTGGAGGAGGACTCACCTGAAGAAGCCTTTGCAGCCTTCGCAGGTCATAGCGTTGAAGTGAAAGCCTGTGGCTCGGTCTCCGCACACCCCACAGATTCGGGGCACATTCCGGTCAAAGTCACCAGGGTCAGGCAAGGGAGCGCTGGCTGTCATCGCCTCCATCCCTGTAAGAGCAGCCGTCAGGCCAAGGCCGGAGCTGGAGTCAGTGCCAAGGCTGCCTGGCATCCTTTATACCTCTACTCCCATCTGGAGGAAGCTCAGTGAGGCCAGGCGGCTCCCCAGGTCCCAGGCCTGAGCAGGACTTCTTGGGTGCCCTCACCTCGTGGCTCTCCACACACGAGGCAGCTTCCCCTCCTGACTCTTTGTGGAGCAGAAGCTCCCTTCCCCATGTTGGGAGTGAGAAGCCATTCACCGTATGGTTTGGGTTCAGAGGCCACACTTGCCGCCCACTAGGCGGGTTCGTTTGGGTGACGTGTTTAGCCTGTCTGCACGTGACAGACAGAAGCCTTCAGCCCCTCATCCTAGAAGGTGGGAGGAATGGAATAAATCGATCACATGCCCAAATCAGACCCTGTTATTGCCATCCCCGCTCCTCCCCTCAACACGGCTCAGCCCTGACAGGCCCGTGTCCCCATTGTCCTGGCACCAACATAATCAAAATCCTGGTCCCTCTTCTTTTTTCCCCCCCATTATAAATTTTACACCTTGATTTGAGCATCCTTCTGAATAATGTGAGTCACAGACAATTAACTGATTTTGTTTTCCGAGATGGCTTTTATAAATAGGCATTATCATCTCGAGATGGATTTCACACTTGAGAGAGGAAAGATAGAGGGAATAAAACTAATGACTTTTGGAAACCCTTCTCAGGAAGCAGCTGACCTAACTCTTCCATTAGGCAAATTGAGCCCTCGGCTTCCCGCTCTCGGGCTCAGAGCTCCTCGGGCCTCCCCAAAAGTCTTCAGACCCTGCTACCTCCCACCTTTATCTGGGTCCTCACAAGGGCCACTGCAGGCTTAAATGGCCCCTTGGCCCCAGGGCAGGAAGGGCCCTCAGAGCAGAAGAAACTTGAGAGAGAAAGTCAGTTATGAGCCAGTGCCACGTTCTCCTACCCAGAGGTCTGAGGGGTAGATTCTGGGGGGCCCTTGGGAGACTCTGGGCTTCTTTCCAATGCAATCTCTGAGCTGGAGTTTGGCATATCAAAGCCCCTTCGAGTCTTATCCCATTTACTCTTATATCACCCAGGATATAAATGCTATTAATCACTCGCTTTACAAATGAGGCCCAGAGGGATGCCTGGGTGGCTCAGTCGTTAAGCATCTGCCTTCGGCTCAGGTCATGATCCTGGGGTCCTGGGATCATGCCCCACATCGGGCTCCCTGCTCAGTGGGGAGCCTGCTTCTCCCACTCCCACTCCCCCTGCTCGTGTTCCCTCTCTCACTGTGCCCCTCTCGGTCAAATAAATAAATAAGATCTTTAAAAACAAACAAAAAAAAAGCAAAGGAGGCCCAGAGAAGCCCAAAGCTCGAGGTATCTCTAGCAGCTATGATTAGAACAGGCCCAAAGCAAATACCTAATTTTTTTTTTAATTCCACGAAGAGCTTCAAACCAAAGGAAGAAAGTGAGACACATAAGGATAGGGGTGGAAGGAACCCTGATTGCAGGCAGCTGTATATCCCCTACCTGTCTCAGCTTTTCTTCTCCCGGGAACCATACTGGGAACTAATACTGATGCCACTGCCCAGCCCTATCACAGCGAGATTGATACTTGTTAAACTGTAATGTTTATATATACACATGCAGAGAGAGACTGACATAGAGACTTAAAAAAAAAAAAAAAGAACAAAGGAATGATTAACAGAAACCTTTGAGGGATTGAAATTGGGGAAAAGCATGCAGAGGGCCTCTGTAGTAACTATATTCTATTTCTTTGAGGGGTAGGTATATGGTATCTTACTATTTTATTATTATTATTAAAACACTATTTTATGTTTTATATGTCCGTCTGTGTATCTAAGACATTGCACAATTTTTAAACAATTCCAAATAGAAGAAAAAGTGCCTGTGTGTTTGTCGACATTGTCCCTGTAGCCCACCCCACGTCCAAGCCAACTCCCCTGGGCTTCTGGGGAAGCCAGAAGCCAGTCCACACATCCAAGCCGTGGACAGGGATCCCAGAGACCCAAAACCATCGTGGGGCAATAGGAGAAACTGTCTAGGATGCTTGTGGCTTAACCCCAGTTCAGCTGAGATGTTGCAACTCTCCGTCATCATGAAGTTGCTACAGAGTCTGTGTCATTCAGGCGACCAAACATCTGGTGGATTTGGTGGAAAAAAGAGAAATCAAATGTGGGTGTGGGGAGCCGGGAAAACCAGTCAAACGAACCACTAGGCGGGTTGTGCCTACTTGTGATCTCTCTCTGTCAAATAAATAAATAAATAAAATCTTTAAAAAAAAAAAAAAAAAGAAAGAAAAGAAATAGGACCATTTTAGGAGCACCAAGAGAAAACTCAGCCCTGTCTGGGGTTATTTGCTGCTATTAAGGAGCCAGGGCCCAGGACCAGAGTCCAGAGGTGGAAAAGGGGCCCAGGCATATATGGCCTGAGAGCTGGCAGTCCCAGGCATGGCAAGCAGACACTGTGCGGGCCAGGGAGACAGAGAGGAAACTGGAGCTGGGGGAGAAACATTGCTATTCGGGACAGTCCCCGGGGCCCTGGCCTGAGAGTCAGCAGGCCCCTCCCTTCGGAGCCCCCACCCCTGCCTCCAGTGGGCTTTGGGTCTCCGCAGGGCTGCTGCGGGTGTTGCTGACACGGGACCTGCCCCATGTGTGCCAACCCCGGGGTAGTATTCTCTTCCTTCCCTTGGTTCCCTCCTTCCCATGGCGCGCACCTGCGCTGGGAAGACAGAAGGCCAGTGAGGTGGTGGCTGGTGAGTTAAACACCCACCTGAAGGAGCAGGGGACCAGGGAAGTTGAGCCCAGGGATGCCCTCTGTGAGGTCACAGATGCAGCCAACCAAAAGGACTCTGCAGTGACAAAAGGGAAACGCTTCATCTACAGCTCACACTGACCTCACAGCCAGTCCTCCGGTGAGCCCAGTGAGCAGTGGTGAGGTTCTTTCTAGAGACTTTAGCCTCCAGATCAGGGATGGAAAACATGGCAGAGTGATTTGTTGGGCACTGGCGTGCCATATCATCACTGGCAGGGGTGAGGGGTGGGAACCAGGCAGCAGCCAGGACGGGCCCTCCCTTGCAGCGGGGAGTAGCAAGAAGCAGTGGGGAAAGGGTGGGGAGGCAGCAACCAGCACATGGTCCCTGCTGTCGGTGCTCCTGTTTCTTTCACAGCAGAGGATGTTGGGAGGGAGGAAAGGCTTTCTTTTCTTTTCTTTTTTTTTTTTTTAAGATTTATTTATTTGAGACAGAGAGAGCGAGAGTGAGCAGGAACAGAGGGGGAGGGGCAGAAGCAGACACCCCCCCCCACTAAACAGGGAGCCCCGATGCAGGACTCAATCCCAGGACCCCAGGATTACCACCTGAGCCGAAGGCAGATGCTTAACCCACTGAGCCACCCAGGCTCCCTGGAAGGGCTTTTCTCTAAGGGAGCTTTGCTGCTTCCATGGCCCCCACCCCCAGATTTGAGGGATGCTCAGTGGGGAGCAGAGCCAGAGGGTGGCCTGGCGCATGGCTGATGCCAGGGAAAAGACCTCAGCCCAGGTAGTCCTGCCAAGACACCTCAGCGGGGCTGGGAGTGGTAAAGCAAAGACTGCTGCCCCAGGAGAGCCTCAAAGACAGGTGTTTGGGATGCTGGCCTGAAGACTGGGTGTAGGCGGGGCAAGTGCTGCAGGGGTTAAATATGGCAACTCATTGCTTTCAAACAGGATGTTTTCTGCCACTTTTAGCTCTTCCTGAGCAGTGCTCCACACCCCCCAATGCCCGGCCTCAGCAAAGGCTGAAGGTGGGCTGACTCCGGTGCCCAGAGTATGTGTGTGAGTGGCATGCTGGCTCATCAAGGTGGGGCTGTGGAATTTCACCCTTCCCGCTTCTACCCACACCCAGCCCTGCTTGTCTACCCACAGAGACAGACAGACCACACACACATGCATGCACACTCACACGCTTCCTTCCCTGATGCCAACAGGAGGTGCCTGACCCTGAACCCTGGCAAAGGCCTTTAAGCCAGTCCCCAGATGGGGAAGGTCTTGAACCCAAGCTTTTGTTTCCCTGCCTCCCAAAGACCTGACTAGGCAAGGCAAGGAAGAGCCCAAGCGGATTCCGAGATGTGGCTCCCAGGACCATCAGCCCACTGAGCCCACTCACTATCCCCTTGGGCACTGCCAGTTCCAAGGGAGCAGGCCCTGCTCCCCAGGACCGTGGGTGGGAGGAGGCATACCTGCTGGGGACACACACAATGTCACCTACCCCCAAGCCAGGCTCTGCTTCGCTCCCCCTGCTTGTCCTGCCCAAGGTCCCCAGCTGACCACACACTTCTGGACTCTACCCCAGGGCCTTATCAATTTCCCAGGCTCCCTGTGTGCTCCTCAGGGCCTGAGGTGAGGGCTGAGTCGGTACGGAAAGGACCACCACTTTCCTGTCCTCAACCCCTAAGGTTTTTAAAAGTCAGACCTGAGATCCAGGTAGACTATCACTCTTGAGCTTAAAAAAAGAATATGTGGCATATCTACTGTGTGCCAACCTGCCAGGCTCCATATGCACTATCCACACAAGCCTCATAACAGGCCTGGTTAGGTGGGGAGCAGTCCCATTTGACAGATGGCAAAGCCAAAGTCCAGAGCACTTCGGGTTAGCTGCCCAGGGTGCCATGGCCAGCCCAGTGGTGGGGCCAGGGGCCGAGCAAGAACTAGCTGAATGCAAGACCCAGATGCCTCCCCTGCTCCCGCTGACCTCCCCCTGCCCCCAACCCATTCCAGTGACAATCATCAGCAGAGACACCGTACTCTGTACTGAGGTCTGCTCCAAGTTCTCCAGCATGCTCACTCATCTAAGCCTCACTACGATGACAGCAGGCAGACCCTGTGGCATGATCCCTATTTTAGCCACGGGAAAACAAAGGCACAGAGAAGTAGATTGTCTTCAGAGCCCAGATTTGAATGTAGGCAGCTGAGCCTCGAGTCCCACTCCATTGCCTTTCCTAAGGGATAGAACTCA